TCTTAATAACGTTTTATGTGATTTTATAATTTAATTATTAAGTTAGATTTTATTCGTCTTATAAATTATAAAACCTTTAGGTTTAGCAGCTAATACATTTAAGTTCCAGTGTCAGCTACTGGGACAACTGACTGTCAGCTACTGGTACAAGCACTTTTTTCACTGTCAGCCACTGGAACACGTACAAAGGTTGAATTAAGTTTAAAAATGTTATAAAATATATTTAAAAAACCCTTTTTGTATGACAAATTTGAAAACTACATTAAATTTAGAATCACATAAAATCCGTAATATCTCTTTAGTTCCTATTCATTCAAAACCACGGATTATTAAGTGCGTATAGTTTCTTATACTGTCAGCCACTGGTGCATTTACCTTAAATAAAAGCTACTATTATATTTGCCTACAATTTAAGCAACAATGGAAGCTAGTTTCAATTGAGATAGTTTTTTCTCCCACAAGGGACGTTTTAATTTTGTTTGCTACATTTCAAAAGGCTACAAATACGACCAGTACAGTATACAAATCATGACCAATTATTTTTGTATCGTTAAAACGGTAGAATCACACTGTCTCAATAATCATTATGCAGAATTGTCAACAAAACAGCTGTTTACTTTGAACCAAGGTTATCATACTGTATATCAACCTAGAACTATTGATTGCCAAACAAAGTTTAGCATGACAGGGCTCGTTTGTTTACAAACAAACAAGAGGTCCACTCAGTTCATGAACCGACAATATGTCAAATTACTTCCGTATTATAGTTCCGCATCAATGTAAATTTGCGTTTACATTTTACACTTTCAATGTGAAAAAATATTAGTATGGTGTCTTATTGCACGAAAATTGTTTAGGATCACTGCTCGTGGATTTTATCACAATAGTTTACCACTTTTGATGCAAAATCACGTAAGCAATCATTTAAATAACACATTTTGTGGGAAATAACATTAAATAATGGAATTATTGTGCTAATAAAATTATACTAAATATGAGTAATTGAGGCAGATATATCTAAAAGAATAGGAAAACATTTTATTGAGAAAAAAAAAACAAAATGAAATAAAAACTCAACAAAAATGTTAAAAATTGAATATAATAATTCTATATTGAGTTTATGATTGTGTATAAATAAGCATACACCCGGTTTTAAGACAGGTTTTAATTGTTTTAAAGAAATGTTGTTAGAAGCGACTACGCGACGAAACAATTTTGTTTAAAACAAGTTTTGACTTTTTGCTCCGCCGCGTGAAATCGTCAAGTGTGACAGGTGTTAGTTCACACCTGAGCAAAGAAAATTAAGTGACATTTTCATGACTCACAGTTCAAGAAACGCACAAGTTTCTAGAAACAATCTCTAAAGCCTAGAACCAATCATGTTTATGAATTAGCAACACCGATGAAATCCATTCAGAGGAAAACAGGATTGCTTCATTTTCTGGTTGGCGTCGCACTGGGAAACAAAGGAACTATAAGGGAATTCGATTAGTGACTGCAACTGCGAGGATATACTTGATTTACGTTAACTTCACGTGATTTTAAGAAGTCGTAAGAATTCGTGTATATTCATAGTGTGATATAATCGGTGTTTACGTATATTTTCGTAGAAAAAGGTACGATTACATTTAGGAACAGAATTACTAAAGGGATCTTTTTTCAATAATACCCGTCTGCAGCTAGTCAGCTAAGCGGTAATGATTCTTCAACTTAGTACATTTTTTATACAAAGAACAGCTGATGTTTTCTATCAACCAATTTCGAGCTGGTCTAGTAGAGCGCGAAACTTTGGTCTCCAAGGTACCGGGTTCAAATATTGTCAATCACCATTGGTTTTATGTAAGTGATAACGCCGCAGCCCCTCTAGGTTCCAGCTAGCAATGTGAAAATAAACCCCAGACTAAAACCTAGGAAAAGAAATATTTTACAGAATTTTTTTCTGTGACAGTAATAAGGACTAGGTTCCTAGAAACGCTGCTACCAACAAATAAAAATACACCAGCATTTGGCGTCCGTCCTAAATTTGAAATAATGATAATAACAAACTCAGAAAAAAATACTTCTTCTGCTGGCACTGCACATTTTTTGAATTGTGACTTATATGCCTTTACGCGATTTAAGAAGCGCCCTTTAAGACTTGTATTTGAATCCAAAGCTAATAATTGAATACCTTCACCAGCGTAAAACTTGCAGCTAATTATGTGAATGTTTTCACATCTGTGCAATTGGAACGTTTACATTACTAACAGACTTGCTGATAATTTCGTTAAACTTGGAGTGAATATGTTAGCTTGAGATTATACATGTTACTATCAAAGTAATTAAGCTAGTAAGTAAATTTACCGTAATTACAGTAAGTTTAACGTATGGTGTTTTTTGCCTCTGGGGCCTCAATACGAAATAGTGTAGTCCAAATCGCTCACAAGGCTAAATAGCTCATTCCCTATGGGAAGTGCTAAAACTTATAAAAACATTGTAATGCCCTTCATGTGTTAGTAAATACAATATTAGAAATTAGAGGAAAAGTTAAACAGCACATTTAGAAAAACGAGCGAGAAAAATTAAAAATAACCAAACCAAATGACCAAAAAAAATGACCAACGTTTTTTTTAGTTGTTATCGGAGCTGGTAACGTAACATTAATTACTAACAGAAACACAAATAAACCATAATGAACAAAAACAAAGACGACGATTTTAAACCTTCAACCCAATTGTTTTACTGGAACTAACTTACATAAATTCAAAGGTACATCTCGAAATACAAATAGGGCATTGGAATTACGGTGTCCTTGATAACGATTGGTGGAAGTAGGAAGACAACTTTCTAGGAGAATTGGTTTTAAATTGACTCAAAACATGACGTAAATGTCGAAATGAAGAGCTCGAGACGAAAGAGCAAAAAAGCTACTGAAATACAGTACTTAACATTATATCTATTAAAAGGTTTATTTATGTTATTTTTCATACTTTTACATTAAAATAGAGTTACTTATATCAAACTGTATGATGTTACTTCTAGCAGATATAAGTGAAAACAAAAACCCAATTTAGATGTAAAAGACCAAAGAAAAGTATAAGACACGAAAAATTACATTAGCAGCTGGTAAAGCTGTAAATAAACAAAGCTATTCAAATTTGATCTTGTGTTATGTGAACATAAATTTTAGTTCCCTATTTTAATGGTCTTAATTTTAATTATGTCAAATTCTAAAAGGCTATATTTCTTATAGTTTTCAACTAATGTAAACATCACTATAGTTTTCGTACAGCAATTATCTACCCTGAAATATAAAACAACAAACATTAAATAATTTATTAAAAACGTATTTTCTAATAAAGTATTTTTCATGAGTATAGGATTTGTATGATAATTTTCTACCTCAGATAACCCGTTGCGGTATGAAATGAGTTTAAAGCATTTTTAAGTATTCGAGTAGTAAAACGATAGGTTTTTAGTAGTGCACTATTACTATAATATAGTTTTTTAGATGAAAAAAGAAAAAAAAACGCCAAAGTAGTAATTTATTACATAACCTCACAGTGAGTATATTAAGACTTTTAGTTCTATATTAGCGTAATTATACTAATCCTCTTGTTCAACTTTATCACTACAAAGATTATACTAGCTGATAAAAAGATTTTGACAACGGTGTTATGATATAACAACGACTTCAAGATCAACGAATTGTTGATACCTGAAGTGGGTAAACAAAATTATATCATAAATTAGAGTAGTTGTTAACATTTCATAGGTGGACATTAATTCCATTGAAATTAAGTTGTCTGCAAGGAAATGCACAATAAAGGTTCTGTTTGTTTAGTTAACAAATTAAATTAATTAATTAAGTTAAATTTGTTAATCTGTTGTTAAGTAGTTTAACATTATATTTGAAATTAAAATAAAATGTTAAATACACTACGGAGATCTTATCGCAATAGCAATAGTATTTATGGATTTGGATGGCATTTTTAGTTGCTATCGATGATGAAAAAACGAACCAAAACATTCATTACAAATGTGTGTACTATGTGCTCTAACAAAAAGTCTAGTTTCTAGTTCAGACAAGACCAGGGTTTTGACCGTTCCCGAAACGTAAAATACATGAAAGGCATGGAGAAACATAAATTAACAAAAGGTCAAGAAAATATCCTTAGACCATAAAACTACCAGTTAATTTACACGTTAAATCTTACGTTAAATCTATTAAAATAAAGTGACATTTTTGTAAACATTATATACGTGAGGTAAATAAATCGAAAAATAGTTTATAGGCCTTATTACAGTTTCTAGAGTACAACAGTTCAATCAAACAAATTATAGCGAACATACGGAATAAATATTGTGTAAAGTTGTATTGACACATTGGGGCTCTACAGAACAAGACCATGGGCGAATTGTTAAGTATCTAGTTGTTGAAAAAATAAATACAGGGCATAGAGTTTAATTTGTAAAGAAGTGTAATGTTAGTGTTCACTACATAGTAAATTGACAAATAATATTAAATATAGTCCTACGTATCTCTCTGAAAACTGTATTTGGCCAGTAAGCTGAAAACGCATTAAATTCGCAAAAGGTAATACAGACTTGCATTAAATAAAAAATATTCCCTATATGGGAAATTCGCTAATATAGAACACAATCACAATTGACATAAATATTAGGTATATGTAACAAGCTTCATTGATATTTTTAACTTTGCAAACTAATTTTTCGAAAAAAATGTTTTAACAAAGATTTTTATGATAAATAAAAATATGTGTTATGAACTGTGTGTACGACAAACAAATACAATTAAAATAGGAAAATCGACCTAAAAATTCTTGAAACATGCAGATAACAATCATTTCAAAACAAACCGGGTGAAAATCGATAAGCGCCGCCGGCAACAAACCAGACAAAATATTCAAGAGTAAATATTATGTACAGTAAAAGCATAAATAAAAGAATGCATGAGTGTGGGTTCAAAGGGGTTGTAGGTTAGGTTTGCCTGGACCTACCTCAGTTGTTCCGATGTTGGAGTCTATGCACACACTGCACTGACAAAAGCAACGGCAGAGAACCTAGCGGGACGATTCGGAACTGCACCACGTGCGTCGCGTCTTCGGGGCTTCATTCATGAATGACCACTGACCAGTTGGGTCGGTTTTGTTTGGTTTTTGTGCATCTTCCTTCATTCCTTTATCCCTTCTTGTTGATTCCGTGATGCACTTAGGATTTTCTATTGCAGGGAACTTTTTGATTGTTTCACATCGTCCGTCATGCAACTTAGAGTGGCGATGCACTGTAGAAGATTCTTTAACTATTTAGCTCAAGTTAAGTTAAGTTCACAGAGTTAAATACTTAATAGATTATAATGCAATGTATTTACCAGTTTTTTCACAAACTCAAAATTTGCAAGTTTGATTTTAGGGAGGAAATATCCGTGTTCTGCTCCCACCGAACCCCAAAATATGGGTTTCAAAGCTATGTCAGTGTGTGTCTGTATGTTAGTGTGGATGTGTACAGAGCTACAGACTGCATCTCTGGGGTCCGATTTTAATTAAATTTGTTATAAGTATATTATGAAAAAAAAGGTAGGAATCCATGGTAAGTACCTCCAGATGTTTTTGATTTTGATTTTAATGGCAGTTTTCCCATAAAACCCCCATAAATCAATGGCAAGTCGAATCTTCACAAAATGGGTCAAACGATTTGATTGAAATGTTGAATATAATATTCTTTACGCCAAACTACACTATTTTGACGAACTTCCTACGTATGGATTTAAAACAGCTGTTTGCCGCCAGCTTAATCAAATGGGGTTTCATTACGTACTACTGTGTACTGTGATGAGTTTAACCGGACACAATCAGCTGATTATACTGTGTTTGGGTGCCAATGAGTGGTTATAAACAAAAACATGACTGGTGATTTCTAGTCCTTTAGTTGGTGGTAATATATAAGGATTTGTACAGATGTAGTAGTATGGCGTTTTAAAATAATTTTAAAAACGCGTTTTACGAACGCCCGCAAAGTATTTTAGGCAACACACAAACACCAAAGTCGAGCGTCAGACGGACCAACGCCTGCACAACAAAACACCCGTAGACTCTGGCACGGGGCCAGGTTAAAAATACGATTGAGGCAAGGCAACATCTCGGATTTTGGTTTAGTTGGGCCGAAAATGACGGCAAGGGCCGTCCTGGCTTTTGGGTTACTTCTCACCCTGTATATTGGATGTGGGAGTGGGACTAAGGAGGAGGAAACGTAAGTACCTAGGTTAAGTAAGTACAAATAAATTACTTTCAGTGATTTCTCACTTGATATTTTTTGCAGTGGGTTTTTCAAACCCATGTGCAATCTTAGACCAACAATTTGGGGAATAACAGTCTTCCCATTTGTCCAAGGTTTTACCATACTATTTGATTTTCATTGGCCTAGTAAGTACCTCTCTTACAAAGTACCAAAATTGTAAAAAATATGTGGCGACTACCTTAATACAATACTACTTAATACAGTACTTTAGCAACCACTGTGAGTTGGTTGGTTTCTGAAAAGATATTTTACCCTTAGTTGGACTTATGTTTACCAATAGATGTTTATAATTCATTATGTTAAAGACATGAAGTTATAATAAAATACATGCTCTTTATCACTAAAATGTTCAATATTATCAGTAACAAAAAATGTTAGTGTGAAAAATATTTATGATCAATTCACAAAGAAATCACAAACTTTAATGCAATTTTGTTTTGTACTCATGGTTCCTATTTTTTGATGAATGGAAAATTGAGTCTATTACTTTATTTTGGTATGTTTTGGTGGTATGCCCATCAAATTTAGAGGTGTATTGAAGCATAAAAAAATGATTATAAACACAAATCACTTTAAAGTTTATCCAAATCCTGTGTTACAAATACAATAGATGCAAGCTTTTATGGTATTTCTGCAAAGACACTCAGGACAAATATAGATTTACAGCATAATTCTCAGAAACTGAGTTTGAAGCTATAAACTATATTATTAGACATGTTTTATCTCCTTCCTGATTTAGATACACAAGAAGTTGAATAACTTAATTATACTCTTCCTACAATTTTTCCTTATTGGTGGAACAAAACTTATAAGCTATCTCTGAGTTTCCATGTAAAACGTCTGATTGTTGTATTTTTGGTTCCTACCAGCTCCGTTATTTGTGTCGCTGTCTGAATGTGGGACTTTAGTTTTTCTATTTCTTTCAAACTGTTGTTAGGATGAGGGCCCAATTTTTTATGTACCGGTAATTGATTTAAAACTAAATTTTTCATAAAAAAAGGTAATGTCAAACAGGCTAAGCCTCACAAGGAAAGATCAACATCTGAGAAAACATAAGTATCCTCTTATAACTGGTTAATGGATGTAAAAAAAAAACAATGAAAGCTCGCATTGTTGCCAAAGTTCTGTTAAATACAATAGATGTTACAAATAATTTCTATCAGGCCATTTTGATACGATTGACAACAGAAAATGTATATATAGTGCTACTTCTCTGGCAAAACTAGTTTTAACAATAATAAAACTAATCATTAGTTTAGCTTGTGATAATTTATTTAAGGTCGAAGTAATTGAAATTCTCCTTCTAACAAAAGAGAACAATTTTAACCAGCCTTTGATTATCCTTATACACCTCAGCGATATAGTTTAATAATTTTGATTATTTTGTGTAGAACAAAATTTTTTCAGGGTTGAAATATGGGCGAGGAAGCTTGGAGACGAGCTTTGGCAGCTTGGCACTCATGTTTCCAAGTTCGACAGCATCATATCGGTAATATAATCATAGTCGTACTTTTAATTCACTAAGCTTGTTTCTTTACAATTTTAATTTTTTTAATGTTATCAAGTAAAAGATGTCTTAAGGATTGTTTTTTTACCAAATTGATTGAAGTTAGTAAATATAAATATTGGGAGCGCAAGGTGGGGACAAATTTCTCTTAGGGCCTCTATTTTATATTGCATACTATATTGACCTATGGACTTGATCCCTCCCTAAGATTTGGCATGGGAAATGAAGACGTTTAGTTATCCTTTAGAAGGGGGCTGCTGTGCCAATAGTAAGTCTTATGACTTACCAATCAAATTAATGAGACTTTTCTAGTACAATCACTCAAACTAATCGGCTGGCAACGATTAATTAAAAAAATTCGAACCCCTAATTTTAGGAACCTTTGATTCTATATTTGTCACTATTAATTTCTTCGCAATTGTTTTTTTTTTTCAGAGCTACTCCACATTGAATGCCAGAGTCCTGCCTACAAATGGAGAGGCAATTCTCAGCTCCATAGTTGATAATGTTAGCAAACTGTTGAAGAAAAAAATGGATGCAGTCATGGTTAGTCAAATTTAAAAATATTGTACTTAGTGTGCAGGTTTTTTTGTACTACATGCTAGGCTCGAGCCCAGGGATTGTTTTTCACATCACTTCAGGCTAGACCTAAAGATTGCAGTATCACTTACATAATAAAATCCGTTGGTGATCTGGTGGGATTTGAACCAGGGACCTCAAACAATCATTACAGTAACTCTTCATTCTTATGAGGTCCCCTTGTAGAGGCAAAATAACTTTTTTTGCTGTTAACCTAGACTCCTTCTTAGTTAGTTCATCCATTCTATCTTCCATAATGTTTTCCTGCCAAGTGTTTACCCTCCAAAACTAACTCACATTTTTTCAGTGCATCATCGAGGCTGCCGAGGCTTTAGCGGAAGAAGCGGAGACTAACGTTACAGAACCCGTCAACTACAACAGTGCCAAGTGCTCTACGTTCATTGATCTGGAGACGGGAAATGAGACAGGGACGGAGCTCGTAAGCTGTGAACGGGAAGACAATGACGAGCGGCCGTCAGATCTTTACAACAACATCACTGTTACTCCCGATCTGCACTTCTTCGGGATTCCAATCAGTACTAACACCAGCTCTGTACATATGCCGACTGATATTTACGACTACGGTGGGTCATGACTATGTTGTTTCATTACTTTAAAATACTAAAGTAGACATAGGTCAATCAAGGGGTTGTTGAGGCTACAGCCTTCCCCATAGGGTTTTTGTTCTAGGACGCTAGGACTCTAGTCCGGGGTTAATTAATTTTTCACATTACTTCAGGCTAGACCTAGGGGTTCAGCATCATCACTTAGATAAAAACATATTTCCCACACAGTAGAGTGTTCTATTATAATTGAAAGTCAAGTATGTAGTTACACCAAAGCAATGAGAGATAATTTTGTAAAATTTTGATCACATGGTTACAATAAATATAAACAATATCGTAATCCGTAAGAAATAAAAGAGCCAATCGTCCTGTTCTTAATCACTGTTAGATGTAGGATGTAGATTCCTGATTCTACAATGACTGACAAGTTAAAATTTTCTATTGGTTTCCTAGTGGTGTAGTAGGACGGGAAAGCGAAGGTGTGGAAATGGCGTTCCCACTCGGCATCATCCAAAGAATCTATAACGTATATTGGTAAGTGACCCGTATTCCTCCGCAACCTTAGTGAGCGGTCCCACCCACACTAAAAAACTTATGACTACACCACTGTGGTTTCAGTGTTTGAATGTTTTTCCAAAAATATTTGAGCTAAACAAGGCTATATTTGCAGCAATGCCAGTGCAAGCTGCTCTGAAGTGGTCTGAAGGTCTGGACGAATCGTTTAAGCAGAACTACGAGAGTGATCCCTCCCTGAAGTGGCAGTACTTCGGCAGTAGCACCGGCTTTCTCAGGATGTACCCAGGTACTGTTCGTGCAATCATCATAATAATTGTTATTAGTACGGTCATAGACAATTAGACTGACAGCAGTGCTGCAGTTAGCATAAGTTCTGGCGTCCAACGCTAGGAGCACGCACTACGTAACTTTTGTAAAAGGTAACTTTTGACTCCAAACAACTGTTCAATGTTGTATGGTACAACATTGAACAGTTGTTTGGAGTCAAAAGTTACCTTTCACTTTGGGTGTTGAGGTTTTTGTCTAATTGCACCCTTCGCTAGACAAATAGAATTAATTAAATGTAGACGGAAAGCAGTGCTACCATTACCATAATGGTGAAAATACCATTTTTAGCATCAGGTTTGGGTGAGAGGGATTGAAGCTGAAAAATTTGTAGTTTTTTGGTTTTTATAAACTTTAAAACTATGTGGTTTAGCACAAAATATGTAATTGAAAAAATATAATGTACAATAAATTGCAAACGAGAATAATTCACTTCATTATCTTGCTAAAGTTAGAGACATGCAAAAGGTTAAAATTGTAAATCTTTCGAACATTTTGAACACTTTAAAAGTATGGTACTGCAATGCAAAGTACTAACTATTCAAAGTACTATACAAAGTTCTAACTTTGGAATAACGAGTTCTATTCACAGCGCTCCAATGGAAGAAGGAGAACGATGTTTACGACTGCCGACAATCTCCTTGGTTCATAGAGGCTTCCACTTGCTCCAAAGATGTTGTCATTCTCTTAGACAGGTATGGACAATAGAGGATACACAATGATCCTCTGTATGCTTTTGTAGTCTACAGTTATCAGAAAAATTCTACAGTTTGCGTTGAAATTAATAAGTAGTGTTGGTCCATAGAAATTAATTTTCTTTGAAAGTTGTTCTTTCAACAGTTACCATCATTAGTGCTCTTGAGAGTACTGGGGTTCTTTCATAGTAAGGTATGGATTGCATAATTTATAGTATCTAGCAGGTTGTGATGCATATTAGAAACCTTTCCCAACATAATTGAATTTTATTATGTACAGTCATCTCAAAGGTTGCTGTCAAATCTCATTCAATACACATCTAGTAGGAGAAAAGTGGTGGGGGAAGTTTTCTGTCTCCCGCAATACTTTCCCTACAATCCATTCTTATAATTGATACCATCTAAACAAAGGGTGCCCTGGGGGGGGGGTTGCGTAATGGCGCCACTGGTAATCTATCTTTTTTGGGTACATAACTACATATTGCTGATAATTTATAAGTTTTTATAGGAAACCCTTTACTTTTTTTGTCAAACTCATACACTCTATTAAAACTTACAACACAACGTTATGGCAATTCACAAATACATAATTTATATTTTAATCTCAAAATATACACTAATGGAAAATTTCACCAACATTTCAAACAATAGTCTAACATAATTAATTTCAATCCTATAGTTTCTTCCTCAATTATATTGATCAATTCAGTAAGGGACAATTATGTATTTAATATTCATAACATAACATTTCTCAGGTCAGGATCAATGAAGGGGATGAGTGACTCTATAGCTAAACTGGCCGTCACACAGATTCTGTCAACCTTCAGTAATAATGACTTCATCAACATCATCGGCTTCAACACCTCGCTGCTGGACATGGTTCCTTGCTTCAAAAAAGATATGCTTGTTCAGGTGACTCACTATATTTAACTCAGATGTTCCCTCTGAATAATTCTCTTGGTTGTGAATTTTGAAGCTCTAACAATCTAAGACTAAATTATTTTACTCACCTACTCTCTTTAAAGTCAAAGATAAAAAGGTTCGGGTACAATACAGATAGGAAACAGACAGGACATGGAAAGGAAACGAGGAAACTGCCAGAAAAAATTAAGATATAATTTTAAACATTATAAAATTACTACGCGTTACAATAAATATAAACAGTATCATAATCCGTAAGAAATAAAAGAGCCAATCCCCCTGTTCTTAATCACTGTTAGATGTAGGATGTAGATTCCTGATTCTACAATGACTGACAAGTTAACATTTTCTATTGGTTTCCTAGTGGTGTAGTAGGACGGGAGTTTAGGAGTTTAGGTTAGTTATGGAGTGTGGTACAGTGTGTGATTTCAAGCAGCCGAACAATTTCCGACTGAGTGGTCACCACATCCAAATCAGAAAGTTATTGTCCGTTTCCTTTACATTTCCTTTTCCGCATGTAGCAAAAGGAAAAGGACATGAAACACGCTAAAATTAAATGACAAGAAAATGTGAATTGAATGCTCTCTCCCGCGAGTGTTGTTGTGTGGTGTGAGATGTCTTGTTTGTCGTTTAGTGTATTTCCTTTAATTTGATAAAACAGAAAGTATTTGCCAAAACTTTCTTTTCCCGGTGACATTCCTCACCCATATAGGGTAGCCCAAACTTAAAAAACCAATGATTGATTTGACATTTGAGTCAGGACATCAAAAAGTTCAAAAAAATTTTACTGTATTTGACATCCAAATATTAGAGACCAGATTTTATGAATAAATGTGATATACATTTTCAGGCTACAGAAGAGAACATAAGGACTTTTAGAGACTATGTACTTGAGAGTCAACCGACAGGAAAAGCCAATTTTACTACTGCTTTTACCGGAGCTTTCACATTACTTCAGAAGGTAAGAAACACATAAAACAAATTGCTTCCCTTTGCTTACTCATTTGCCTCACTTAAGCACAAGTTTTTGTTAAATTTGCTTTTTAAAATTTGATCACTTTTAGTCTTCTTGCAAAAATATTTTTTTAAAGTTTTTTGGAATATGTACACACATCTACTACCTCCAACAGAGGTATACAATTTACACTCATTCTTGATTAATCAAAAAAACCCATGCCGTTTTATTTGATCATGATTATGTTTCTTTTCACTAGATATGCTGTCAACCCATGGTGTGATTTTGTTAATAGTTAAAATATTTTCTTTGCAGTACCGAGAAACAAAAACCTGTCCGGACAAGACATGTAACCAGGCGATCATGCTGATAACGGACAGCGTAGCCGGAAACTTAACCGAGGTGTTCGAGACTTACAACTGGTTCCAGAACAGAACGCAGATTCCTGTCAGAGTGTTCACTTATCTGATCGGAAAAGAGGTCACAAAAGTGAGGGAGATTCAATGGATGGCGTGTCTAAATCGAGGTTTGTCCACATGAGTTACCTAGGTAAAACTTTGACTATAAATATAACTAGACTTTTCATCCCCAAAATTGTTGCTGGTTTAATTCAAAATGGACGTAGTTGAATAGATTTACCGACAATTGATGTCAATCGTTGATTTGTGTCAAATAAGCTAACTTTTTAAGTAAGCCAGGCTTTAAAAAACACGTCCTGTAAGCCACAGAATCTACGATGACACCTAAAACTAAGTAGGCCTATTGAAAAATAGAGATTTAGAATTTTGTAGCACTATAAACAGTGGCGGCCCTAGAGATTGCAGGACCAAAGGCGAGGTCTTTCAATAGAGAGGTCTTAATACCTAAAATACGGATGTACGTGGCCCCCTCAGGCATCGCCTTGTTTGCCTATATCTAGAACCGCCTCTGACTAGAAAGCTTGTGATTTCAGGTTACTACGTTCACATAGAAGCTCACAGTGAAGTACGAGACCAAATACTCAAGTACATTCCAGTCATCGCCAGACCTTTAGTCCTGCAAGCTGTTGATCACCCGTTGTCTTGGACACATTCTTTTATCGACTTCAAGGTAAATTGATTCTTGATCTCTGTAGACTGTTGTGGTCGGTGTCAGAATCCATTGATGTTTTGGGCGTCACCTATAAGTCATCAAATGTGAGGTCCCAGCTATATGTATACGTTTCCGAACTTCCACCTCATAGAAGGGTCAAACATCTGCGAGTGAGTTAGATCTGTGGTTGACGCTGAAAACATTGCTGAACTTTACTCGTAAGGAATTTAATTGAATATTTTGTTAAAATGGTTTAAATCAAATAAATCTTATTAAAATGATGACTAAAACACTTTTAAACACTAAGACGATTAAGAATCAAAAATAATTTTATTTTTGGTAAACTAGCTAGAAATTTCTTTTGTTGAAGATTAAATTAAATACAAATTTTTTAAAATAAAACTGTTAAAATATCGATTTTACTTTACAACAGTTAAATCTTGGTGCCATACTTAATGTTAAAATGCTGTTTGGAAATAATTTTTTAGGTGTGTTTTTAGATTGTCAGAGCGTGTAGCAATCATAAATCATAAAAATGATTTGTGTTGCTAACGATTTTCAATTTATCAACACAAAAAAATACCCCCTATTGGGTAACAAAACCTTTAATTATACTTCCTAACGCCCATTGTGCATGATAAAACTATTAAAAGGTATAAGGATATTTTTTACCTTGTTTTCCACACTTTGTGCTTACCTAGGATAGGGCGTTTTTTCGTTTTCCGTACTAAATAAGATTGACATTTCTGTACTTCGGATTGGTTGTGGCAGGACCCCAAAGTAGAGAGATGGCTGATAGATTCGATGGCGTTCGCTGAACAGGAAGAACGTCTATCTAAGCACACGGCAACTCAGAACAACTACTTTTCCCAGAGTAAACAAGACAATTTGTATATTCTGAGATTTAAGAAGGTAGACGTTTTCATGTTGTGCCCCCCGGCATGGCATGTCTCCATAGCTTTTATTGTACAGTTTCATGCATGGAAACTGTAAATGGGGTTGAGAATGTTTATTCGGAAAAACTTTAAGTTACAGAATTCAATGTACAAAAATAAACAATTAAACATGTACAGTTTGACAGTGGAAAAGGAAATCTGCGTTTAAAATTTGTTTAGACATTTGCAAAACCTTAAACATTCAAATCATCTAGAGTAGTTGTAGTAACACTTACAAAGTTTATATAAAAGACAGTCAATGTTTTCTTATTGAATAATAACAGCGCAGGTTATTCCCTTACCTACAATGTTGGACAATATCTATTCCTAATGTCCTGTGTGTGTTACAGGCGACATAATTTTGTGTTAGTTATAAGTTAATTATTGTGTTTTTATGCCTTCATCTTGAAAGTACAAGGAAAATTCTTCAAGGTAATGTTGACCAAAGTAGTTAAAACTAATAGAAATATTGTAGGGTTTTCAAATTTGCATTTGTACACAAAACATAATTACTGAACAAAACACTTTAAAATATTTCAATTAATTAATGGATTAGTATTTTTTGGGTTTTATTTTAAAATTTTATGTCTAATATTATTGCTTGCGCTTCTTTCTCACTCTTTCCTTGCATGTGTAGTTTTTGTTGTTAATTGTTTGTTGTCGGTAGAGCTTGGTTTGCTTTTCACATGTGTGTCTGTGTGTTTTTTTCTTTTCTTGATAGGACAATTTTCCTTTGTTAGGAGTATTTTTTCATAACACCTTTGCTATTTTTATTAAATATATTTAAGTTGTGTAATCTATTACCAGTACCTGTTACAACATTACCAGTACTTAAAATTAAAACACATGTAATAACCATGTGAAATGGCCTGATTCAAATTTTAAAGTATTATATGTTTGACAAATCTGTGGTAAAGTCTAGGTATCAATACATATAGCAATGTGATGGGTTAAAATCCCATCCCAGTACTATTGTCATTTAATATTACAGTTATGACATAGTTTACTCTTGGTACTTTTTAGTCTTGAGTCTTATATTGATTATTACATTATATTCTTTATATTTACTCGAAGCCCAAAAGTATAAATAAAAGGCAAGTTTAAAGTGGGTGAAAAAATTTTTTTTTTATTTTTCAAGGCTTATCAAAAAATATGTTGCTAAAGATTTTTTCTTTTTATAAGATTTTCGGTGTTTAGGTATGCCTAACTATTGAGGATTTATGAAATTGTTTGAGTATAATAAAAATAATTTAGTCAACAATAAGTGCTGCTATTCATCAATCTATTCAAGAATTGTAGAACTCACAAAACCTAATTGTAGATATAAGTAACTGAATTTTCTTTGTCTTAACTAGTTCTACTTTATTCTACAGTAAAAGTCCTAGCGTTTAGTAAACCAACGCTTCTCAATAAAAAAAACCTGTAGTAACCCATAGTATTTAATTTATTTTATGTGTCTTTGTTCAATTATAATTTGCAGTCGGTCAAGCTTTGTGTCCTAAATCTACGCTTTTGTTGTATTATAAAGTAACATTTGCTAATGTATCTATCGGCATCTCATGTAAACTTATAGCAAAGCTTGAAATCGCTCTAATGAAACGTATAGATTTACCTATGTTTTATCTGACACGTACGAAAAACTGAAAAAAGTCTTTATTTATACAGCATTTTGAAAGAACTTTGACACTTAAAAATTGTTACTTGATGAATTTTTCAAAACAACTTTTAGGGAGCTGAAGATGGTGGGCTAGAGGTGACATTCTGTGAAGGGATGCAGAAAATATACGAAGAAGAAGAATTCAACCTTACACCAAAACTGCAAGAGTACCATTTGATGACATCGGTGTCAGGACCCGCTTTTGACCATAAAGTAAACCGTGGAAATGAGGTGAGGTTATTTGGATAGTCTTAAAACTTTTTTTGGTTTCGTCATTTTCAAGGACTTAAATTTATTACTTATTGCCTTTTTTGCCAATGTTACTGAGTGGCATGGAAATTCTTCAGGGCTTCTTCTTAATGTCTTACATAACTCACACTAATATATTTGCAAAACATTTATCCATGATTAAGTCACAGGTGTTACATTCTGACCGAATGGGTAACGCCATGACGAACACACTGCCAAGCCATGGTAGCGAGAGGTGTTTCGTTTCCTTGTATTTGTGTTTCCTTGTTACCTATGCGACAAGATAATATATGAAGACCCCCTGAAGATGAGACTAATGCAAATGTACATAGGGTACTGCTAAGCTAATACATCAAGAACAGCGGCAAAAAAATGGTAAAAATTAACAAAAAATTAGTACACTGCAGTACCGTATAGAACCATCCAGGGTTCCAAATAAACAGATTAAAACAATACCCAGCAACAAACCTGGCGACTAAGCGAATTTCCATCTGTCTGAATTGATTTTCAATTAAATCTATTTAAATAGCATTAGGTTTAACGCTATAGGTCGGCCGCTTAGAAAGCGACCGCCTCCAGCATTGGTTTAGCATTAGCGCGCAGGTCGTTTTCTAAGCGGCAGAACTATAGTTCAATGATTGGATACAGCTAATTTATTAATAAACAATTGATTTATTTTTCAGTCTAGGGAAGCACAGCTCTTAGGGGTGGCTGGGACTGATGTCCCCATCAAGGACATTGAGAAACTAACCTTACCTTACAAGGTACTGTCAGTAAGAATAAAAAAATAGTGGAATTTAATACCTTTTTGGTATAGTGTTTAAATTATAAACTACACCTTTCTAAGACAAATATATGTCATGTTTTCATTTATGGAGGAATAGGATCCCAGACCCCAAGGATAACTTCACTATACAATAGAAAAACAAAGAGATTTAAAATTTCTTGTTTTGTTTTAGGGTTAAAGTCATTTTATTCACTTGGCACAAATCACTTAGCTTTGTTTACTGATAAGATGCATCAGTAGACAAAAACACCAGAACTGTAAAAATAAAAATTACAATTAATGTGTGAGGGTTTTGATGTGTATTTATGTTGGTGATGGTTGACTTAATGTTTTTCTCTTAGGGTAAAATTTCTGATTTATTTAACTTTTTGGCTACAAAAACATAGATTGTTTTACAGTACTTAGTGGAAATAGTTCAAAAGTTGGTCAAATAACAAGAAACAAGTAACAACAACTAAAAGGCCTCTACACTTAAACCAGACGTAATTGAACTTCAATTTTCTACTGACGACCCAAAAGAATGATTAATTTATAATGGGGGGATGTTTAATCTATGACTATATAAACCAAGTTCTACCAGGCTGCATGGTTAACCACTTGTTCTGTTGACAGATTGGAGCCAATGGTTATGCATTTATGATAACAAACAACGGTTACATGATGATGCACCCAGACTTCAGACCTGTGGTGAGTGAAATCGAAATGCTGTTATAAACACTGATTTTGGTTCAATATGCATTCTTTTAATCATAGAAGTTTCAAGAGTGTAGGGCAGGGCCTGAACACCCTATAACAACAAAAATCATTGAAGTTTGCAAAGTATATACTGAAATGCTGTTTATCTAGAAAACATGAAAAGAGAGTAATTAAAAAAGCAGGAAGCTCACCTAGATTCCTGATAGAGTGGGCTTACAATCAAATAAATTTTAGTTATGAAAATGAATTTAATCTTATTTGATTTGTTTAGTAATATAGGATTGTTTTATGATTAAATATGAGCTGTATATTAAGGAAGAAGGAATGGGTACACAACTAACTTACCTAAGAAAAGAGTTCCAGGTAGTTCAAATCACACAACAAAATAAACTTGATATTTCACCTATACTTCTTCAGAAAAAAGAAGTTGAATATTTAAAAAATCAACTTCTTACGAAATATAGAGCTTATTGTGTTGTGAAAATTTTGTGTGCTTTTAACTATATACCTGGAACTCATTTGTAGGTAAGTTTGCTGTGTAACCATTTCTTCTTCCTTAAGCTCAGTGCATTTTCTTCTAAAAGACTTAAGGTAAACTTTTTTACTGTAATGTGTAGATTATTGAAAATTCCATGCAATTTATATTGTGGTTGTAGATTATCCAAAGAACGTAAATGGTGTTTGGTGATAATTTGCCAATGTTTCATCAATACTTTGTAATATTTTAACCAAACATTTTTTCACAAAAATGTTGTCATGTATGACAAATTCAGCCTCTTCTATAAACATGTCCCAGTAACTTTTAGCGCTTTTTTTTGTCCAGTCACAAGGCAAGTTGAGAGCAAACTACGGCAGTGTGGACTTGACAGAGGTTGAACTGATGGACGATGATGAGATTACTCCGAGACAACCCCACGAGAAGATATTGCAGGTAATCTTTGTAACCATAGTCTAACGTTAGGAAATCCATCTAGCACTCATTTCTATTTAGCTAATTTGTTTAAATCTAACTAACTACAAGCAGTGATATGATACAAATAGTCTATTGATTAACTCTAGATGGTCCAAGGAAATTTGGTTGAAGCCATTTTAGAAATTTTAATTCAAATAGAAATCCCACCAATAGGGACACTTGCTGGTGGTTGGAGCACAGGGCACCTTTGCTGGGGCATGTTCAAATCCCCGTAGTTAGCAATGGATTAATAGCCTTGTGATAATGACTTGAGACACCTTCAAACCCTGGTCTGAGATATCCTAAATAAAATACAGTAGACTCCCTCTTATCCGTACACCTTTTAACCGGACATCGGTTTAACCGGACTACACTCGGCGGAAATGACATCTCTTTAACCGGACAATTTTTATCCGCACATTGGTTTAACCAGACTAGATCGGCAGGAAGTGGGCGGTACTGAAACAACTGTTCTCGTGGGAAAGATTTGAGACCAGTGATCACGTGTCTAAATACAATGCTCTCTTAAATTTAAGTCCAATATCACAGTAAACGGTCCGTTTTAACGAGTTTTTGGGGACGTCGGTTGAAGCAGAAAACTGTTATCCGGACTGGCCTCAGTCCCGAGGAGTCCGGATAAGAGGGAGTCTACTGTAGATATAGTAGACCACTTCTGTCTTTTCCTGTAGGAGTTAAACAATGACTATATATATAGGTTCTTGTTACTACTCTACCCTTTTCTTTAGAGGTGAAACTAGTCATGCAACGAGGTTGATGAATGCTCGCTGTAAATGTGACTAAAATCTGACTATAGTTTGTGTGAAGAATTGCAGCCGATTTTGTACGCCATGGTTCATGTAGGATATAGTCAGAAAGGCCTAAAAAGGCACATTTGTCCAGTGCCAAAAGGTAGAAAAAGAGGTGGATTATGATAGGAAATAATGCTGTTTCAAAAAAATATTTTTATGACTCTCAACCAGCAGCTATCTTGGCCTATGATGAAGACCTAACGTTTACTTTGATGATAGTATATAATTTTTACTCAATCTGTGGAATGCTTCATAGGCATGTCTGACTTTAACGTTATGAATGCTGTAATTGGATTTACTTGTAACAACTTTATACTAGTAGTTTGTAGTCAATTGTTGATGAATATTCCAATTTTTTTTCAGCTGCGAGAGGCTATGATCAACAAGACAGGAGGCCAAGTTAGCAATATTCCTCATCTCAATATGAAATTTCATTACGATGACATGGTGAGGAAAATTATGTTATCTAGATTATAATAATCTAAGCTTATTTGCTATGGTTTTTGTTTCTAGAACTTTTCTATACGCTTTAACCAATTTAATGATTTTAGTGTTGTTTGATGTTAAGTTATCTCTGGAAAAATGTTACAAATGGATTAAACCATAAGAGAATGCCAAAATCCCCCTAATCTTACTGGAAAATTTAAACACAGTACTGTCTTTCATTTAAAAATTGATGTAAATTTCTGTAAATCAATTGTTGCTAAATAGTCATATTTCCATTGTTTAACAGAAGAAGGAAATCAAATTTAAAAATATCAATTTCTGTGTAGTTCTCTGATGTTTTTTTTTAACATCTGATGTATATTTGCAATCACCTGTTCCACGTGAGAAAGCAGAAGTTTTTTTGTAATCTTACAATAAAATTATTTGTTTCATTAAAAAGATTCAAATACCTGCTATGAGGCAATCCAATGTTGTAAATACAACTAGTTTCGGCACCTGTGGCACCATCATCAGGCTGTACAAGGACGGTTTTCTTCATAGGAAGAGCGTCATATTGATTAACACGAAAATAATAAATAAACATTTAAACACGACACAAACACAAATACGAAATATTTATGGTAACTGATAATTTAAGAAAACAGACTACGCTAACCCAGTGGAGTATGAGTCCAGACTGCTTCGTTGTACAGCCTGATGATGGTGCAATTTTTGTCAAACATACAGTAGATCTGAGAGTATAAGGTTAATTTAATTTATTACACTATAAATTTCACGTTTACGTTTTTTTTTGTTTTCTTCTTTGAATGGTTTTGTAAATACAGGTGCCGAAACTAGTTGCGTTTACAACAACATTGAATTGCCTAATAGCAGGTATTTGAACCCTTTTAATACTATTTGGCAATCCGGAGGCTAACAACTATAATAATGTTTTCATTGCAGATAAAATTATTGATTTCCAAAATTTTAAGATTGAGAACACTGACATAATTTTTAAATCTCAAATAACAGGATTTAAAGTATCATTCCAAAAATTGAACACCTCAATTACACCTGAGTTAACGAAACATGTTTTAAAGAAAAATTTACAACATTCCAAAGAAGGGTAATTTTTTATTGAACAAAATCCTAATGTTTATCAGTGTACAAAACAAATTGTTTGCACAAGATGATTTTACACTCGTTCTTTTACAAGCAGAATCTATACCTAACAGAATTATCAACAGCATTTTTACACTTTTTGTGAACTCAAGCGTCTTTAAGCCAAAGACTAGACCAGTGCTAGGAACTCCTACAGCTCCTGATACATCTAACACGATTGTGACTGTACATAATATTATGTAGAGAACTAATGAATCTCTTTTTCAGAAACGAGTCGGAGCTGAGAGTCGGAACTACTACTTTGCTGGTATCGAGGGGACTCCGTTCACCATGGGCCTGGCACTGCCAGAGGGCTACGGGAACTACTGGATCAAGGCAGGAAACATCATAAAACGCTCAAAACTGGAAGGTAGAGAAAATACTTTAACAAATAATGGCTACAACGTACTTCATCTAATAAAACACTGCATTTTGGATGGACAATTTATCAAATTAATATCATTCTACTCCTCTAAGAGATGTTATGGCTACCTCGGTATTCAAACTTTAAAATAACAAAATGTCCAAGTGGTATCAGCAATCTGAAACATGCTTTCTCCCATTAGCTTGTCAAAAACCATTATCATGGGCAAACGGAGAGAATAACTATATACTTTATGCGGATAATCCCAAAGTATATTTCATAAAAGTAACAATAACTTTGTAATTTTTATTGTTTAGCTAAATAAAAAAAAAAACATAACAAACTAAATTTGAATCAACATTTTTTGAAAATCAGATTTTCACTTATTTTACAGGTTTAAAAAAATGGCAAAATCACCATTGAAAGTCAAAATTAAAGAAAAAAAACTATTGATACCACTAACCAGTACCCATACTAAGTTTTATTAAAACCGGACTGTAGGTGTGGACTGGAGCTCTATACACATTCACACACACACATACAGGCACACACTCAGACATCACAAAACACTTATTTGGGTTCAAGAGGATATTCCACCTTAAGTCCACCTCAAAAATTTTGACAAAAACAATACTTTTTATATACTCTATGTAACTTATCTGGTTGGAAAGTAAAATAAAAATAAGTTGTTGGAGCGTAAGTACAGTGTTGTCCAGTTTTGTTACAGGTGTTCCTCTCACTAGCTACTTCACCGGCAACTGGAAGGTTCATCCAGACTGGTAAGTTCTTAATGCTATCACAATTATCAGTAAAGCAAATGGAGTAACCAGGACAAAACTATTCTTTATCAGATCAAAATCAACCTATCAACTACAGTACAACAATAATGCTGGCTAGGTAGCTAAATGGTTAAATAGTACTAGCCTGGTAATAAGAAGGTTGCCAGGTTCGATCCTGAGAAAAGTTAGAAGCTTTTTCATACATAAAAATTGGACTCCGCTGTCCGTTGGGACTGCTTATGACCGTTGGGCTTTTATCCTACTGTATTTGGAACTAAAAAACAAACTAGAAACTTGGAATTAAAAACAGTTTTGAAAATAAAAATACGAAAGAAGTAAAAATTTTTGGGATTGGAAATTTTACTCAAAAGAGGAATTCAAAAGTGTTCTGCTTCTAACAAAAGTAACGACCACAGTTTACCTTCTAGTTGAGCCCTAACTTCTAAGTAAGTCAGACGGGATAATTGAAATTACTTCTAATATGTAGGACGAGATTTCACCATATCCCATCATTCATTTATACTAATCGCAAAATCACAAAACAAATTAACAATACCCCCGCCGCAGCAAACCTGCAGACTAAGCGAATTTCCATTTGACTAATTAGATTTACATTGAAATGTCTACTTTAAAATATAACATTTATTCCCAATTTGAATAGAATTAATTTAACAAGTACGTAGGTTTGCTGCATCAGGGAGGGTAAAACTGTTTTTTTTTTTTTGTAAAATGTTAATAGTTAGTAAGAAATAAAAACATTTTCCAAATTTGATCAAAATATGTTCATAAACAAGCAAACTACAATAGTTTACTTATTCTCCATAAGAATAACATGAGAATTTTAAATTTACAATTTTTTGGAATTTTCTCCGTAATCATTAGGCGCATAACAACCCTTCAATATACTAAATTATATGTTTTTTAAAGCTCTACAAAATGGTTTGGAAAGAAATTGCTAAATTTTATGTATTTTGGGTCAAAAATGGGAAAAACCTATTTTTACCCCATAAAACCCCCCGTAAACTCCCGTTTCCATGGTCCGATCATGCTGGATCGCGAACTCGATCGAATAAACGTAGGTTTACACGTTTGTACCAAATTTCATCAAAATCGGATCATTTTTGCTCGAGTTATCGTGCTGACGGACATATATATATATATATGAATTTGAACGGATGGTGTTTTTGGCCTCTAGGGACCTCAAAATTAAAATAAAAATCGGTCCCGCGTCCAGGTCTCACCATGAGTACTACGGTAATAGCTTATTCCCTATATGGGAAATTTGCTAAAACCGAAAACAATTTTTTATTGTTTTGAATGTTTCAGGGTGTACTGTGACCATTTCATTGCTCGAAAAGACATGACCCATGAAGAGAAACTGGTTTACTTTCTTAAGAAAATTCAGAATGAAAAACTTGGGACTCAAAACGGATGGAAGACGAAGGTTCAATTCCCACCAGAGCCCGCTTATAAAGACGGAGATCTTAATTGTGAGTAGAATGTGAATATTGGTTAGTTTGTTTGGGAACAGAGGTGGTTCCAAGTTGGGGGGGGGGGGGGGGTCTACGGGGGTGAAAGCTTCCCCCACATTAGACCCTGGAAAAATTAATTTAAACATACATTTAGAAATGTAACAAGAGGTTTTTGGATTGATAATGGTTTTAAAAAGTCGCCAAACTGATTTAAAAACACAAAATTTACCCCAGGACCCTCTCTTTATGGAGGGTGTAAAACAGAATAATAATTATTAGTCTCTAGAAAATTATGTTCGTCATATATCAATTCATTGCAACACTTTTGAATTTTAATACAACTAAATACATCTTGTATGTAACAAGACAACAAAAGTTAACCCACTTTGAGGCTGAACAGATAAGCAAAGAGTGGATTAAATTTATACTTAAGTACTCTGCAAATTGATAACTGACCAATACAGTAATTTGTTTTTCTTCAGCTCAATGGACTCTTATTTACGTACAATCTAACATATAAAGCTTAGAGTTGCTTATTATTTTTTGGCTTGAACTATACTTGTGTTTTTCAGATACATGCAACACTAACAAAGTGAAAGAAGACGAATATTTCTGTGAGTAAATTTTAAAAATGTATTAAATATTTTATAGTGTAATTATGCTTTTTAAAATAATGAATGTGGTAAAGCTTAACAATTTAGTGTGATCAGTAGGTGCATTAATATATAAATTTCTCGTACCGTAAACGCCTTTAACTGTTCTCCCAATAATTTTATTGACTCTTATCTACGACTATAATTTATTTCACTGAAAGTATTTGACTTTACCGGGTTTTGGGTTTATTTGTGACCTTTCTATAGTCAGTACTGTACTTAAAAAAAAGGATATAGGCCTAAATGTATTTTATTTTGTAAATAATGCATGCACGACTTCAGAATAAAGATTATATAATTCCAAATGGATAGCACTTCATTTTTTACGTTTATAGGGGTTGCCCGTTAAACCGATCTTTTGAGTTATCCGACCTAGGTTCGGTCCCGTTAGGGTAGGTTTAGAGGGGGTCTACTATAAATTTGTTTAAACTTGATTGTAAAGTGAATGTAGCTATTTATGGTGTGCAACAATGTAAGCCATTGCATGCAGCAGAAAAAATCCCTGTTTTCAATGCTTACACTGTGCTGCTAAAGTGAGGTGGTTTTAGTACATCCATAGACTAACCAACATCAACACAAGTAGACTTCTCCTCCCATTGTAAAATTTGAAGCTTGTTTTTCGTGTCTAGTTCATGTACACAGTGATACTGGGCGCTAGTGTCGACAAAATTTTCTTTCTATTATTTTAGGGTTAATTTCTTGATTTGTGCTTTACTGTTTGGTTATATAACTAGGGGACGAGCTATTGTTTATGATTAGATTGTATCATTTGGTTATAGCGGTTTTAAATGACTGAAATAACAAGAAACAAATTGTAAACAAAACAAGACCTCTAGTACAGTGCACCGGATATAACTAACAATATAATTGGATTCGGATGTTCCATAAGGATGAGAAATCTACCAAGGGGGTATGTTTTATCTATGGTACAACTAACTTACTTTAATTACTTGATTGATAACTTCCCCTATTTTGAAGACGTACAGCCAATAAAAAAAAAAAATTGTCTTGTGTCATAAAACTATCTGTTCATTATATATACGTAGTTTGGTCCTGAATTTCAAACAGTGTTCATAAACTTGTCATTCTATTGCAAAATTGTAACCACTCACCTATCTAAACATTCAATCCCTTGGTTAACTATGTTATGTTATAACGTAAGGTTGGACGACATAATACCTTTGGTGTACTATATCTACAGTACAGTAGTGTTGTTAATATTTGATGCACAGGTGACGTGGAGTTGATGCAACTTCTGGTGTTTGATGCTAAAAGCACCGACTCATCTTACAAAGACGTGGTGTGGACTCCTGACAACAATATTGAGTAAGTTTCATAACAAAATTTAAACAACTACTTGTACGAATAAAATTTAAGTCTTCACTCAGTATGCACAAGCTAATTGTAGAAATGTATAAAAAGTACACATTGCTAACCAGTCAACAGTTAGATCCAAAATAAGTTATGAAAAATCAATTTTACCTCCCTAAGAATATTTAGAATAAAACAAAACTTTTGGCACTCAAAATGGTGAATACATTAACAACAATAACAAATTATGTTAAAACAGCGCTTGCTTACATAACGTCTACTGATTTGGTGGGAAGATCTATCTTGACTTGTAAAATAATATAGGAACCAAATTATTATGTTAGTATATCTTAGTTTTGGCGATCAAGGAAGTAACGAAGGAATAAAACTTTACTTATTTACAGTTTTAATTGACTGTGTGATAATTACAGATCAGTACGAGAGATCTGCCTTCATGAAAAGTCATAGGATAATTTTTAGGGGTTGCTAAAAATAATCGTTAACGGTTGCTATGAAGGTTTTAATCTTACTGCGTTTTTCAGGAGGGATTTGGTAAAGAAGTACGGAGTATCAGTGAGGTTTGTAGCAACCCAGAGCGGACTTACGAGATGGCAACACATTACGGAACTTGCGGACGGAGAGCTGTAAGTAGAATGAAAACAAAAGTTTGGTTTTAGTTAAATGGAAAAATAGTAGTTATGAAGTTTTGTCTATGTCTATTGCTAGCTTGTGAAAATGAGAATCCAGTTTTTAATTGGCGAATTCATTAAATCATGATGCCAAATCATCAGGAAGGCAAAGATGAAAAGATAAAAGGATGTCGAGATAAAAGCGCTTTCATCCGTGGATGAGTTTGTTATTGTCAATATATAATGTCTGACAACCTGAAGATGTGCCCGAGCGGCATGAAACAGATGTAGTTGATTCTAACAACATCAAGAATCGTTTGAAGCAAAAGTTAATGTGAACCATTTAATATTGCAATTTTTAATCCAAAGGCTTACGCAGCGTAAAAAAAATAAATAAAAACAATGTGTTCAATAATTCTTTGTTTCTCAAAAGATTTTTTCTTTAACACTATGTTTTTAGTCCTGTATATCTTACAAAAGTAAATAAATAAACTGTCACAGAGAGTTTGGCGAGACGAACAACAAGGCGGTGGGAGAACCTTGGTACCGAGCAGCTGTTTTGCAACACTACATCAACGATGAAGACTTTGTGTTCTCAGTGCCTTTTGATTCAGGTCAGTACTACCAAAGAACTCCTTCCTTTACTTGTAAGTATTTGTTTTATTGAATGGTTGTTTGAAATTACTTATCGTTTATTGATAAGCTAAAAAGAATTAATTTACTTTTCTGAGTGCAGGCCAATTGCCTAACAACTGTGACGAGGGCCATTTTACAGCCTGAGGCTTGGCGGTGCGAGTGCCGTGCCAGCCAGGTATCCGACCAGTTCTACCGTGCAACGGTTAGGATGAGCAAAACTTTGAGGGATAAGATAAAACTATCATAACCTAACCTAACCAAACTTGCTGATTATGAAAAATTGAATTAAGGTTTACTAATCAAATTGATATTAGGGTAGCCCAGTTATGAAACTGTACCCAGTCTCCGTTAGATCATGCCCAATACACCACCCCCTTCCACTAATACAACTCACCTGAATCACTCTTACCCTCCAGGGAGGCGTACAGCACTTGGGCCTACCTGACGGTTTCGACAGTTTATGACCCCCACGACAAAGAATAGGAACGGCACTCGCTCCGTTTCCCTACTTTTCCACAAATTTGTTACCTTGCTTGTGATCAGAGCAACTGATGAGACTACTCTTTGTCTTGTGTTCTCGGGAGTTTGCCTCAGCGTCAGACCTTCAGATTTGATTAGTACCATAAACACTCGGCTACCCAGACTTATGCAAATAAAACTTATTTGTATATTGTAATGACATGGTTGATGGAACGGGGCGGGCCTTGTCCCAGAGCACGTCAGCCACAAATGGGGTTTTTGTGCTCCCCACTTGGTACATCAGAGTCTGTCAAACCTGAGTTGTTTGATGAACTGCAGCATCCTATGTATGAGCTCCTCCTGAGGAAGATGTGCTCTTGTCATTGTTCCAAGAATGCTTTCCCTTACCTCATTCAGAGCTGTGCAGTCATAGAAAAGTGCTTTCGTAATGTCATAGTTTATGATTAACTGTTTAAAGCAAAAGCTGTTTTTCACAAATAATTTACGAACTACATCAACAGCTCAAACTTATTACAACTCACTGTTACAGGCAACGTAGACAACCTCACAGTGACTGCTAGTTACGCCATCTTCCGCCGAGATGGAGGCAATGAAGCGCCCGGATCTGTGGTGGGCTTCCACCTCAGCCATTCTGCGTTGTTTGACCGCTTCAGAGATGTTACGGCAAAGACCAATGTAAGATACGCAAATCCAGTTAGGAGTGTAATGTTGGAAGATGACTAGAAAACTAAAAATGTATAGAACAGTTTTAAGGACAGTCATTATCTAATATTTTAAATCCCTTAGACTGAAATGTGGATAGTGAATCAGATAATCTTTACGGAACTTAACAATTTTTTTAATGAAATGTAATTGTTAATATATGTCTGTAAATGTATTGGATTAAGTCTCTTCTTATTTTGATTTTGTTGCATATGTTTGTCAGGTTGAGTGTAAGAAAGGACCGGTTAACTTTGTTTGACTAAATGAAGAATTTTTAATTTAGGTAATTTAATTTCAAGTTAATAGTACAAAACTTTATACATCACAATCTATCTTTTGTGTTGATTCCAGTGTAAAGACTGCCTAGACCCGTGCACCTCTGACACGACTGATTGTTACGTCATTGACGGCAACGGCTACATCCTGGTGTCGGAGAACCGACAGGAGACAGGAACGTTCTTTGGCCGGAAGGAGGGAGCGATCATGGAGGATATGATCTTGAAGAAGATCTTCCGGAAGATTCCGATGTTCGACTATCAAGCTATCTGCTTTGAAGTCACACACTTGAACAATGCAGCTGACATTCTGTGGACGGTAAATACTATTTTGACAGATGTTTTTTAAAGTTGGGCTAAAGTAGTTATTTTTGTCGAGAGAGTTAAATAATCAGAAGTGGAGGACATTAGCTGTAAAATTTGGCAGCTTCCAAGTTGTTTTGCAGCATTTCTGCTGTGATGACTATAAAAAATTTGTTGAAAAATGTTTTGAAAACTGTTCCAGCCTATTCGCTACTTCCAATGGATTATGCATTGGTTTCTATCACACATTGCTTGGCTCATTGTGGAAGCAAACTGGAATGAAGTTTTAGCGGCGAAATTCACTCATGAGGTGGCAGACATTGATGATGGTAAGAGAAAATTCTTTAAGCTGGTAGTTTAGTTTAAATATGTTTCTACCTAACTTAAATGAAAATGCTTGAAAAACTCACACTTCCAAGTGTTTACAGTATCGAATAATATTTTGATAGATGAATTAATTCCGTGAGCACTATTAATTATTCAATTATTAAATGTAGTGATGTATTCCCAAATCAAATGAACATTCAAATCCAAATTCTTACTTTTCATTAAGCTTAGTCATAGCACAAGTTCAGAAATCCCACATCTTCCCCAAAACAACCACTGTTCAATTTAGGTGGGCGTCTTCCACCAAGTTAGATCTGATTGGTGAGCTCAGAGTTCACAACAGACCTGATAAGCCGAGATTTGAATCCTTACAGTGCCTCGGCGAGGAGACAATGGCTTAGACCGCTCGGTCGTTAATCAGAAACAACAAATATTTACTACAAACTACATTGGTCAACCCAAAGCACAAGAGTAATAGTTCTCAGTTTGTCTAATCGGTGGCAACACGTGTGTAAGTTATAGTTTTTAGCTGTTTCAGTAGTGTTATGGCAAGGTTTAACTGACGGTTTAATTACGTAACCTACTGGCTGACATATTAAAATTTGGGGCATAAAAGGTAAATATTTTAAACCACTCAGCACAAAAGTAGTGTCGTAAGTTCTACAAAATGGATGTACAAAATCTCCTATGTACTTTTTCAGACTACTATGATATGGAAGCAGATAACATCACCACAACGCCGATGCCGACCATAGACATCAGAACGGTGAAGGCTACGAAGGCTTGCAAGTCTTGTGACAAGTTCGGTTATCTCTATCTTCTACAGAGCACCGAGAAGCAGGCCAAATACAGATCTTCCCATGAGGATCCTTGCCACAGGTGACACCTATTAGACAAGATTTTACACTAGATTTTTACGACTGACGCACTGAAGTGCGTATTTTAACATGTTAAGTGCGGTTGCGCGATGGCCGGCCGCTAATGCGCTGCATGGTTGGGTGCGCGAAAACGTTTAGATTTAGTTTCACCCCAAAGGAGAGGCATATTTACTATTACTGCGTTCCTCCACCAATAAAATAGTTGCATCTGAAAATGAAATATACTTGATTGAAGTATAAAACTGTCACAATAAGCGAGTGAAACAATGTCTTACAACAAAGGCTAACCTCATACTGCAAAATAGTTTGTAAAGGCACTTTAACGAGTGAGTATACTTGTCGCACGCCACTAAGTAGCGCTAGCGGTGACGAGATGACTTGTCATGCGCGGCCAACGTGTTAAACAGATTATAACAATCAAACCTGCCACCTAATGAACCAGTGAGCACTAAACTCACTCAGCTAACCAGCTGGGTATTCTGTGTGTAGAAAACGGTTTGTAAACATACATAGAATTCCTGTAGCCGAATTGAAAATTCACAGCTAAGGTGCAATCAATATCCTTCTCAGCTTGATTCTATTTATTTCATAACGAGAAAAACTCACTACGGTATGTATTGTCAAACATAGCTCAGATAAAAAGTGATACAACTTTTACTTATTGACTTTACTTATTGTATGTGTAGAAGCAGTTGGAGCTTTTAACCGTAATTTCTCCAAATAATTATACAAAATGCAAATGACTGATATTCCATTCCATTCCATTCCCATTTCGTTTTGTCATGAGAGCCGAAGCCCCCTGACTGCATACCCGGTACCTATCCTTTAGGACATACCCGGGCCCCATGATGTAGGCCGAAGCTTACGCATCAACCTTTAGCACATCATGGGCGGATGACTTAAGGTCATCAGGCTCGCCGGCTGCCGAAGCAGACCCTTCGGAAGGAGGGTTGCCCCTCGATCCTAACCAGGGATTCCGGCTGCTTATTTAAGCGTCACTCCACCTGGGTTCCACTAGGTCGAGACCTAGAGGTCCATGGTAGAGCGCCCCGACGCATTTAGTGCAAGCAACACTCGGGACCTATCTAATCCCTGACAGGCAGAACCCGCCATCGAAAGCCAGGAGGAAGGGGACCGTCAGCACGCTGACGGGGGGAACCCCAACCTCCCATTTACACCTCTGCCCGATCGAGGCCTTACCCATTGCTGGGAAACCAGAGATAACCAGAGCGATAGATCCCCAGATACCCCTGGCGGGCTCGGACCCAGCACCCGATCTACTTCGTTTGCCCGTCAGACCCAACATCACTGCCAGGCCATCAGGGTTTCCCAAAAGGAGGCAGGTATAGAAGTGGGACCCACCCGGATGAACCTATCCACCAGAGGTGGCGACACCCTTGACTCAATTGAGGTTCCGGGAAGAACCCCCCACACTCAAGATAACCATACCGTCCGTGCTCAGAGACAGGGATTGGTTTGCATAAGTACCTACAAACCGTTGCCCTCACACTGCGGAAAGTTACGTTGCCCTTGAGTGTCCCCGTGAGCTGCGGGTACTTGCCCGTTTTCACCTCCAGGAAAGGTTACTTCCAAAGTCGAGGATTTGCCCACTGAATGCCCAAAGAACCACAGACACAGGTAGGTTAGAGATTATGATGTACTTCCATCTCTCCTAGAGCTAAACACCCCTCCATCCTGGATAAAGGAATGTCACTGGGACCCAATGCCCAGTCGTCCATGTCTGTGGCCAACTTGAAAATGCCGATACCAACACGGAGCATTTACCTCCCCTCTGGGGGCAATGACTGATATTTATAACTTGATTGAACTCAATAAACAGATTGTCAAAATGCTTGAATTTCTTTTCAAAAATGTGTTAATGTTTTTTATTTCACAGGCCATACTTTGTTAGGCGGATCCCTCACACGAATCTTCTGCTGATAGTTGTGAAGGCTTTGTACGCTACATGTTCCAAAGATGAGACGACAGAGTTTTCCGAACTTCATTACGAGGACGAGCCAGAACCTCAGATACCAAGCTGTGTCAAGATGTATCTCAACGATCTTCCTCGAAGGAGGCTTTCGGGATGTTACAACCAGCATCCTCAGGTTTAAACTCTTAACAGTATTAACATTGCAATCTTTTGAATTTTTTTGTCTTTAAAGTGTGGGTTGAAGTCTATAGTGTCTTTAATCAAGGGGGGATTATGTGGATGTGCCTAAAATTCTTCTGAAGATTTTGATTAGTAGTTCCCCTTGGCAGTATGACTAAAGTTTTGATTTAATCTTACATTTTTGACCCTGCAGTCAAACAAACGATAGCCTTCTCTGACCTACCAAACTTCCGACAAGTTGGGTCTTAAAAACAAGTAAGACCTGATCCTGTAGATGATAATCCATTCTGCCCAATAAATCTGATAACTGATTTTCATAAGGATTATTAAACTCCAAAGTGCCAACGTGTAAAGAGTGCTTGTAAAAAAGTACAAAAACAAGATATTTTCTGGGACATCAAGAATATTTCTGGTGGCAAATTTCAAATTTGATTTTGTGAAGTTGGGTCGTTGTACGGTAAAGATATTTTTACTGGATTAAGGATTCTGATTTCACGCAAGCTATTTAAACAAGTTCACATAAGAATTTTGATAAATTGTTCATTTACAAATTGGAAAAAATACAACCTTTCCAGTTTTCACAATACCATATCACATTGATTAGTTGAAGTATGTACACGCCGGTAACTTTTTGTTATTTAATCTTATTCCAGTCAACAAATTCTGTGATGAAAACTGCTGATGAACTTTGTATTTTATGTTTTATTACTTGATTTCCGACAGGAACTGGAGATTGATAGATGTGGAAGAGGCTCGGCTCTGACTACAAGTTTGCTCTCGTTACTTCCGTCTCTGTGGATAATCGTCAAATACTGCTTATAACATTGTCCTTTCCTGTGTACAACTCTCTCAACCTAGACGAGGAAGGTAAATTATACTTTGAAATTACCATTGACACCTTTACTGTGATTTTTAGATTTACTAGTCCATATGTCCATTGCATAGGTAAAAAAATAATGTTTACCTTTTAAATTTTTTTTGAGGCAACAGTTTGAAACCTTTCCAATATTATACATTACTCTCAATATTAGTACAATATTATTATACATTACTCTCTACATTGTGTCTGTTCAAACATGTCTAAAGAGTATTGAAGAGGTTTAAAGTTACTTAAAAAACTCAAATGCTTTTTTAAAAATGTGTTAAATTTACCATATTGGTGACTTAACCGAATTGTTCTGTAATATTTTTCTGGTTTACAAAGGTACTGTACTGAAATAAACGTTTAATGGACGAGCTGTCGCCAATTTTTTAGAACATAGTCCCGTGAGACAGTCAAAGAACTAGTGTCTAAAATTATATTTCAAACCTTATTTTGTTACTAAGATAGTTGACAAGCATTATAGATGTTATAGCTTACAAGAAGTCGTTTTATCAGTTTGACTGAATATTCAACAGAAATCGGTAATCTATATTTCTAATCTAATCGGTAATCTATTGGGATTGAAAGTCAAGTTTTATCAATAGTCAAAGGTAAAAGTAATCGACCATAAACTTTAAATTGATTTTTTCCAGGATAATCATCTTCTACTTGATTCATCCACTGACAGATACGTGAGATGAATCGTTCTTCTACAATATTATGATCTCCAAACTGCATAGAATCATTGAGCATACTGTAGTAGACATGCTACCATTCCCACCTTCATGGACTAGAAACAGCAAATAGAACAATCGAATGAGCCAGAGTGTACTTAATTGCAGTTCTATTTTGTCCCCTAGTTTTTGATTCGTTGAATTTGAGTTCTATCCGCATATCATATGCGGTTACACAATGTTGACCTTTCAGTTGCATTTGGATAAAAATATGGCTTCCAAGAAAATAGCATTTGACAATGTAATCGGTGGCTCAACTCAACTGACATTCTCACTTAAAAGCTGGTCACAAAAATGGGAATGGGATGCCTATGTTTATCAATAGTAGATAGCATATAGATATACCAAAACATTTTAATTGGTTTTCCAGATATAGTTCTAATGTGGTTAAACATCCAACTGAAGGATCTAGAACTCTAGAAATACATGAAACACTATGGGGGCGAAACCCTAAACGTTTAACATTCGTCCCTACGCTATGTCATAAACTTTAAAATGACACCTCAATTGTAGAAATTTGTTAAGTAGGGCTGTAAGAGGGATTGTAAAACTTTTGAATGAAGTGTAAATAAACTATCCTGTATAGTATACTGTAGTTTGCATTTATAAATGTAGGGCGAGGAACTCTTTTTGACATTGATTACTGTTCAAACTGAAATGACCAAAGAATGAATAAAAATTAGTTAGATTAGCTAAGGCTAAATAATTGGCCATAGAACGATTGGCACACATTTTTAAACGATTTGGAATAGCACGACTGGCACTATCATTAGAGGGGATTAAGAAGGGTCAACCTGTAAGGTTTGAAGAGGCACGATTGGCACAAACAGCCCGGCCAGGTAGTAGCAGCCAAATTCCCTGCTGTGGTGCTTATTGAAGTAAGCAAAGTTTAAGTTTTCCTAAATAAAAACTAAAATCAACCTCACCTAAATTAAACATTTAATTTTCTATGGAAAAATTAACTATGTGATATTATCGGCAAATGACTGTCGTGCAGAGTTAAAATTCCCGTTTCCCTCGTTCGATGACATCTACCTCGTCGAGCGGTTGTGCCAATCGTGCCTTTTCTAAGCAGGCGAGTTGACCCTACTTATTCTGCTCAAATGATTGTGGCAATACTGCCATAGGCAGAAGGTCCAAAAATGTGTGCCAATCGTATGGTCCCCAAATAATTTGGGGTATATTCTTAAAGCCTAAAAGCACCAGAAGTGTTTTTGTTTTTATAATAATTCCAAAGATTCAATGTGAGTTTTACAGTATTTGGAATAGAAAAAGATAAATATGTTTTAATACCCAGATTTGATTAGGTATGTTGTTGGTTGTTGTTTTTTTAAAACCTTCTTTCATACTTTATTGTACTGTAACCACATACTATATGTGTAAACCTATTTCCTATGTATCGTAGCTATAGAAATAATAAATCTATTGAATGTTGTTAAGTGTTATAAATGTATATTGTGTAAATAAATTTGTATGACAAAGATACTTCAGAGCTCATTTTACAAATATTTTTACAAACACCTTTATTTGACCAGTTAAAAACTAAGAATGATTTTGAAGTTTAAGATGACAGAAAAAAATATTAGTCCTTAATTTTTTTTCTTTAGAAATTCAATTTGCTCAAAGAGTAGAATAAAAACACTCAAAAACAGAAATTGAACCAATTTATTAAAATTCATTGTAGTAGCCCCTGGACTAACTAATAATGACTAATATTGGTTTTATATTACCTGTCGTCAGTTCCAAATTGTAACTTTGGTCAATGCTACATTGGCGAGCTGCTATTTACAAGCATACAGTCCAGGATGATCACAACAGCCATATCCTCAACGATAAACTACAGTTTAAATCAAATATTATTAGTAACGCCCCACTCCAACTAGGAAACCTATCTGAACAGCTGACCACATCTAATAACGAATAAAATTCAACTAGATAGCGCTCATTGAACCCTCCGTCGACAGACTGTTCCGAGTCGTGTCACGGCAATGTTTCGTGTCCGTTATAGGCCTATCCAACTAAAATTCTTTGTTGTTACTCTTTTTAGTTTATTCTTCTGTTATTAATATTTGTTATTACTATTGTTATCACTATTTGTTATTACTTGCTATTACTACTATTATCACTTTGTTATTACCATTGTTATTACTTTTCTAGTTAGTACTATTGCAAATGCCATCTCATATTGTATACACATATTTTGTAAAAAGGTGCAATCCGTTGGGAAATAAATAAATAAATAAAAGTATTATTTAATTATATGTCGTGTGTGTAAGCCAAAAACGAAACTAAAAGCAAATTTTTTAATGTACATTCCTGGACTGTATGCTCTAAAACAGCAGTTCGCCGAAACATATAGCATTGACTAAAGTTACAATTTGGAACTGACGACAGGTAATATAAAACCATTATTAGTCAGAACCAATTTAATAGGCCAACACTACTCAATGAAAGGCCATCCTCAACATGTTAGTGGCCTAGAAAAGTGAAGAGAAATTCCTAGAAACTTAACCCAGTAAACATAGGATCGCAAAACAATTCACAACAATTTTGTACATGCTTGGTTTATTTTTTTTTATTCAACTTAAACTTTACTCTTATACTAAACAAAAATATCCAATTCAAAAACTCTATTCTAGAGAAGATAGGCGAAAGCTTGATGAAATATTGGGAGACCCGACGACATCGATGGTCTCCGAGCTCAACGCTTTGCGGGAACTTTCCAACGGATTGTTCTGCGACTCCCCAAATAGAGACGGAGGAATCACTAGGGTCTAAAACATAAGACTTATTTGTATCCAGTAGACTTACTTACCATGTATTGCAAGAGCCAACGTTTTTATTGCAGAGGAACTGACATAGTACATTCAAATCTACATAAAAAATTTACAAAATGGATAAAACAATTAAATGCAAACCTACACAGGACAGGGAAGATCGAGATAATTAGAAATATAAACATTCGAATGAGGGATAAGATAAAACTTAAAGAACATATTTTTAAAACAGAATTGATTAGGTAGTACCGGTAGCTGTTTTTTTCTACTCTAAGCATAAGTAGTAGTTATATTTTAATGTATTAACTTAAAGATAGGATAAGAGGGGTACTAACGACTGTCAACGACACAATTTTTCTAACCGCCTGTTTAAATAATACACATTGACAACTTTATAGGGATTACAATTAGAAATATTTAAATTAATTAATTATTATAGGCTATTAATTTATTTAATCCAATCTTAATGCTTTTTTGGGGAGCGATCTGGTCTAGTGGCTAGAGCGCGGGCCGGGTTCAAACCCTGCCAAATCACCATTGGATTTTATCTAAGTGATAATGCCGTAACCCCTAAGTCTAGCCTGGAGTATTGTGAAAAACAATTCCGGGCTCGCGCCAAGCGCCCTAGGACAAAGAAAGCTTTTTCGTAAAAATTGAAATATTTAAAGTGTTCAAAACAATTCCTTAGTAAGCACCAAGGTATATGTGAAGTTTACACCTTAAGACCATATAATTAAAGGAATTTTGTCTAACTCACTTTTTTAATTTTTTAACTTTCTACAAAATCTTTGGATAGGAGCAATTTTTAAAACTCACCTTGCCAGGGTTGAACGCCTCGTAGCGATGTCGTAGAGTTTGCAGCTCAAACTCGCAAGTTGCAAGAGCCGATTTGAGCTCGTACAACAACACCAAGTCACTCCTCAACTCATTGAAGTGGTGGCAAATGTTTTCAGTTGGCATTGGATTCAGTTCTGAAAAAGATAATGTTAAAAATAAATAACTAAAACGTTACTACAAGGTGTGGTCAAAATAAAAACCAGTCTACTTGTTTTTACATTGAACACACAAATTTACATTTACAAACATTTATATTTTGTATATTAAACGTAAAGATTTTCATTTACAAAATTTTATTAAAATAAATAGGCATATCAGCAAACTGACACATACTTTCTCCCATTAGCATGCCAAAAACGCTTGGGTAAGCAGTCGGAGTAACTATAATATTTTACGGGTAGGCCTAAAATAAAAAAAAAAATCTATAACTTTTGAAACACAATTTTTACAGCATTGGAGGATGCAGTACCATTTTGTTTGGAGTTAAAATTGTGGAAATACGATTTTAAAATTATTTTATGGAAAAAAAAAAAAAAAAATATACCATTGTAGCTATTGGCCCCGACAGGTGTGGTGTGCAGCTCTGTACATACACAAAAACACACACAGACATAACTTCAAAAACAATTTGTTTGTTTTTGTTCAGGGGTCCTAAAACAGATGTATCCACCCATAACTACAACTTGAAAATTTTGCTGAAAACTTTTTCCATTCAACTATGCAGGTCTATGGAGGAGAACGCAGTAGTCAGGAAACCTTGAAACAACTAACAAGTATTCCTTTTCAAATGAATGTGATACATTTTAAAGCTTAAACATGATCATTAAACCTACCGATATTGAGGTCTTGCAACATTTGTTCAATAGCCTTCATCTTCTTCTGTCCCACGTTTGCTGGTAGCTTCATCTTCTGTGAGCGAACAAACACCCCACTGGTCTTCATATCAGGGAACTTGATACCTGCAGTCTCCACAATCTGTAAAACAAAGGCAAATCACTCAGAAATGCATGTTTTGAGTTAGGCATACTAAATGCCTCTAATACACTACCCAGGGGGATTAAAACATTTAGACACGTTTTGATTAAGAAACCATCAGGTCACTTGAAAACAGCAGGAGAGGGAGAGTAAAAAAACTAGCTGAAACAAAAACAGTTGTTGGAAGATTGCGAGGGAAGAGGGAATTCCTAGGAAAATCGAGTAGATAGGATTGAGGAAAAGAGACAGAAAGGAATTCATAGAAGAAAGTGGAAGATAAGGTGAAGGGAGGTGAAGGGATTGGCAGATTTGGTTGACGCCTCTACTTTGGAATGTCTGAAATGGAATAGGATAGCTATAAGGATAAATCAACAAATCATTAGGACTAGATAAGTCACAAAATTTAAGAAGAGTCAAAGTATTTCCCATCTTAGGGTGGGATTAAATAAATCAGGATTTTCTCAGAACGGGATTTGTTACAACTGTCAGCGATTTCTCCACAATCCTAAGTGAAGATGGTGGGTCCACGATCGCTTAAAAATGTTAAAGATTTAACCGCTATTGCAGGAAAGGATGGCGATATCTCTGCGTTCATTGGAGAAGTTGGAGGGTTTGGATTGGATTTCCTCGCTATAAGGAGTGATAACGATTTCTCCGTAATCATGGGAATGATTATGATTTCACCACTATTGCACGATGATAGTGCAATGATGATGTTATCTCAGTGAAATTGGGATTATTCAGGTGATGATACTTAATAGCCTGATATTTGAAGTTAATGACTTACTTTGTTTAAGATAATATTGCTGATTGTAATTAGCTACCTAACTACTGTGTTGAGAAGTGGAAAGAATTGCTTATAACAAGTTTCTTAACTTAAAATACAACTTTTATTTTAATAGTTTGTCACTTACTTACAAAATATGTGTAATTTTTCTTATTAATTTGTTTTTGTTACCTATCTATTTTTACTCTTTTATAACACATCACAATAAAGACCGCAGTTTCATTTTTACTACCATTTTACCATTTGTAAGAATTTTTTTCCATGTTTTCCTGTTTTATTAGGGAGGAAATATAATCCCCACCCCATCCAACTCAAACTATAAGTACAATTCCGCCGAACCCTAATTATTAGTTAGTTATTAGTTCTGTAAACACTTACAGTAGTATCCACACGTGGTCGAGCTTGCTGCAGCTTCTTCCGCGGAATCTTCCTCTCCATCTTCCGCTGATCCCCTTGGTTATCAGCCGCAGTTATCAGCTTCTGCAGATCCTGCGCTTTCTTGTCCCTCTCCTTCTTCCTCGCCTCGATCTTCCTCAGCTCGTTCAGGAGATTCTGTTCTTCCTCCACCTGGAAACAGATTTGTCGTGTCACTAAACTGCTTTTAAGACTAATTGGTGCAGACATGTATTTGTAAAGTGTTTTGGAAAATAAAATAAGCAAATTATAATTTGGCTAAGTGTAACTAGTAGCCTACACTTATGTCGATATTAGTATGGTTGTTGCCTGAAGACCATCAATCAAAAATATGAGGCTGTAAAAGCGAATAAATTAAGATTAGTTGCCTACACTTAAAAAAATTAAACTTCTATAACCTTATTTATATTTGATCTTTTTTCATTTAAAGCTAAGAGAAAAGCACACTGACGGACAATTAATAGACTGGTTTGATAGAATAAGTCAAGTTTGCCTAATGTCAACTTAGTAGATCGTACTAAATATTTACCAAGGCGGTGTAAATAGGTTTTAGTTTTAGTGATAGCTTTATAACTAAAATCAGGAAACATTCTTCAATTACGGTCATATCCAAGTCCAATGACAAATAAAATTGGTTTATTAAAT